TCTAATGTCCTGGCCCCACTGGTGGACCTCCTGATGGCACCTGGTATTTTTGGCCACTGTGTGACAGAGTGTTGGACTAGATGGGCCTTTGGCCTGATCCAACATTGGCGTCTCTTATGTTCTTATGAAATGAAAGTGGGAGGGAATACAGAATGAAAGAACTGGATGCACACAGAAACCGAGGCAAAATACAGGTCTGGAAAGGGCTAGTGTTTCTGTTGGAGGCCCCAAGAAGGAACCTGGAACCTGGAATCGTCCCATCAGACCCCAAGACTGGGTGATCCTAATCAAACCCTTGAGGGTTTACTTAACATCTCTCTTTGAAGTGACACTTCTTATTGCTTTGCTTTTGAGGAATGTAAGCTTATGCTTATTTTGACACAATACTGTGCTTCCAGCTCTGTGCTTCTGGCTTAGCATTTAGAAATCACGCCGCGGTTTATGTAGCGGGAGAAAAGGAGCTGGCGTGGGCTGTTCTGTTTCCCTGATGTCATCTTGCTGTTTGTTTGGGGCCTTTGGGGCCAGTGAGCCTTAAACATATCCACAAGCAAGACTGTCTGCCACACTGACCTCTGGGACTCTCTGACTCGGGCTGATGAGAGAAGGCAGACAGAGTTCCTGTTCACATGCGAGCTCAACATCATTGCTTTGATAAATTGGCGCAAGAGGCATGATCAGTTTGAACTGGTCATATGTGAGCGTGCCTTAATTTTATTATTGTTTAGATTTCCTAAAGCAAGTCCAACACCCCTCCCCCCCACCAAAGCACACACACCCAAATAGTTGAGCCAACTATTCAGTAAGTAAACTTATAAAACAGTTCCAAAGACAAGGGAACTGTAAAACAGCAAGGCCAGTGACATAAAAGGGAAATAACACAGAATCCTTATATCTAAGAGCCAAGGTCTAGTCCCTGTGTGGATCAAAACATCTTCACAATGGGGCTACAGTTTTGGGGTTCTGCAAACCCATTGGAATTCATAGGTTTGCAGGGGAAAATGATTAGCATGTGGCAGTAAACCTCCACCCCCCGCCAAAAAAAAAAAGATGAATGGTGTCTGCACAGGCACAGAATACCCCCTTACGCCCAAGCTTGGGTAACGTCTTAGGTTTCTTTTCCAACTCAAAACAGTACCCAACGGAGGATAGGGTGGTAGGAAGGAAGGGGAAGGAGCCAGACAGAGGGAGTAGAAAATAAAGAGGAGTTGACTTGACAATGGAGTGAACCAGGGTCAACGGGAGAACATAGAGCCGGACCCAGGAGGGGGAAACAGAGGACAGTGGAGGAGGGGAGGCAGAGCCAGTACCATGGGTAGAAGTGGTGCCAGACCCAGGAGGGGGGGACCCTGGGCAACCGGGGATTGGGGTTTCCCCTCCCCCCAAAGAAAAGGTGATCCTGGTGAATTTTCCCTTTGTTCATATCACAACAAGGAACCAGTTTGGTGTAGTGGTTGTGTGTGTGGACTCTTATCTGGGAGAACTGGGTTTGACTCCCCATTCTGCCACTTGCAGCTGCTGGATGACCTTGGGCAAGCCATAGTTCTGTCAGAGCTGTTCTCTCAAGAACAATTCTGGAAAGAGCTCTCTCAGCCCCACCTACCTCACAGGGTGTCTGTTGTGGGGAGGGGAAGGGAGTTTGTAAGCCGCTCTGAGACTCTGAGTGAAGGGCGGGGTATAAATCCAATCTCTTCTCTTCTCTTAAAGCAGTGATGGCGAACCTTTTAGAGACTGAGTGCCCAAACTGCGACCCAAAACCCACTTATTTATTGCAAAGTGCCAACACGGCAATTTAACCTGAATACTGAAGTTTTACTTTAGAAAAAAACAACTCATACATTAATTTAAGATGATCCAAACAAAGTAAGGAAAGCAATCCCAAATGCTTTCATTTACTTAAAATTATTTGGCAGAGAATTCGACACTTTAATGATGGTCTGGGCCTGGCTGGGGCGATGGCACGTGTGCCCACAGAGAGGGCTCTGAGTGCCACCTCTGGCACCCGTGCCATAGGTTCGCCACCACTGTCTTAAAGAGAGATCGAACAGTGTGCTACCATGTTGTTCTCTGGATCACCACCAATCTGAAAAGCCCTGCATACTGTCCAGTGCACACACACAGCTTTTGCACACAAACTTTCCCCATTCCCTTTGTGGGAGTTCAAGGACCTTTGCATTGAATCCACGGCATTTTCTTTCCACTAAAGTGAAGGGGGCAGCCATTCCCTCCCTTTGTGTGAGTTGCTTGTAACAACTAGCCGCAGTTTGCAGCCGTAGTTCTGGGAGTGCCGCCAGGGCTTTTCCAGTCAGGGTGGATCTCCTCTTGGGCTGCTAAAAGAAGAAAACAATCAGACCAAAAGTTATTCCCCTCATTTTGAACCACTTTTTGCAACCGTTTTCTTTTTCTAATTTCAGAAACTGTGGGAGCCTAACCCCAGGAAAGCGAGTGGAGAACTATTTGTCAGGACTTGAGAACTGTGATTGTACTCGCTTTTATTGTCCAGCCAGCCGATCGATTAATAATTTATTACGGTCATGGATCAACAGAATAAAATATACATTAGTAGAGTGGCCATAACAACACACCCACTCAGTCTTCCACTAAAATGTCTATAAAAACCAAATACATGTCACTGAATTAGCACTGTACCTCGGTGGACTTCGGCAGCTGCACAGAATCTGACAGCTCTGTCTGAGGTTCCAGATTCAAGGTCTGTGAGAAGAGAGGAGAAATATCCTTCCCTCCCAAATTTCCGGGATTTTTTTTGGGGTGGGAGTAATAAATATATACTGTCAGGGCTATTTTTGGGCAGGAACGCACAGGAACGGAGTTCCAGCTGTCTCCTGAGTTGGCCACGCCCAGCAGGAACTTATTAGTATAATAGGCCACACCTAACAGCAGAAACTCATTAGGATTGGCTATATTAGGGGTGTGTGGCCTAACATGCAAAGGAGTCCCTGCTACAAAAAAAGCCCTTGACAACAAACAAGGTAAACAGAATAAGAAGCAAAAGGTGGGTGTGGCTGAATGAGCACACTTCTGGTAACATGGGGGTGTGGCCTAATATGCTAATGAGCTGTGCTGTTGTGGGTGTGGCCTATTAGGCTAATGAGTTCCTGCTGGGCTTTTTCTACAAAAAAAGCCCTGTATACCGTCATCATAGAAGGGGCAATGCAGCCGTGCATGTCCGGCTGTTTCAATTTCCCCAGTAGCACCAGGGCATAAACGCTCATGAACTGGCACGCCATGGTGTCTGCCTTCTAATAAAGCGGATGAAAGGACATTGAGATGCGCCAGAGTGAAAGCCACCCTGTGTTTGGGAATCAATAAATCAGCTAAATCAGCTGACAGCACCAGTTTCTTCTCCCTAAAGTGATTATTTTTTTGTGTCCTTAAAGGAGCTTTGTGAAGATCCTCGTTTGTTCGTCAATGGCATCAGCTCCCACGACTTGCACCAAGGGAAGCTGGGAAACTGCTGGTTTGTGGCGGCGTGTTCCTGTCTGGCTCTCCGGGACAGTCTCTGGCAAAAGGTACCCTGTTACCAAGCAACTCGCATTCAGGCGCTGCGTGGAGGATAGTAAAGTCCAGGAGACATTTCTGCCTTCAATGAGTAGTGAAGCCTGCAGGGGCATGTGCCCAGGCCTCTCATCTCCCCTTCGTTTGGGGAGGGGAACAAATAGCGTTTTCAGCAATGACTTTATAAGCCGTTCTTCAGGGTACCATTTCAAATGTGCAACAGAAAACCACAGTGGGTCTTCTGGCACCTTAAAGACTAACCCATTTATTGTGGGTAAAGATAAATTTGACTGGTTGCAGGAGGGTTTTGTGCTGTAATAAGCTGGTACGTCTACCCTACTGCAGTGTGTCCCTTTGGAATGTGCAGAAATCCAGGTTTTAAGGGTTTCTTTCTCTCTCTCCTTTCTTTTCTTTTCCCCATTTCCCTGAGGTGACCTTGGAGAGGAGTAGTCTCCCCAAAATCTGTTCCATTATCTTTCCACTATGGCATGGGTAGTTCTCCAGTAGTTCTCTTCTGGCAATGAAGGAGAATTTCAGGAAGCAAAAAAAATGGATTCCATACCAGAATTTCTTTAAAACTCTTTTGAGATAGATAAATATATTTTAGAATCATGTAAGCCGCTTCTTTCAGAAGGAAGAAAATGACTTACTTGCTTTTGTTGCCTTTCTGCAAAAATGGGCCAGCACCCTCGTGTAACATGAAACAAGAAACTCTCTCAAAATGAATGGCTTATGTGCCAAATATATATATATCTACACAGGCACCCCAGGGCTGGTTTTTGGAAGGGTTTGTATTATTTCTTTGTGCTCTGTGTTCCAGAAGAGTGCACCTGTGCTGTGCTGCAACCTGAACACAAAACAAATAACATAGGGACTCCCGTAAAGCTACCAGAAAAATGGTTTGTATTATTTCAGCACCCAAATGGTTCATTTTGGAGGGGTTATATTTATGGTTGCCAGCTCTGGGTTGGGAAATTCTTGGAGATTTGGAGGTGGAGCCTGGGGAAGGTGGGGTTTGGGTACAGGTGGGTCCTCAGTGGGGTATAATACCACAGAGTCCACCCTCCCAAGCAGCCATGCCCTCCAGACAATTGTCAGTTGTCATTCCAGGAGGCCCCCAGGCCCAGCTGGAGACTGGCAACCCTAATTATTTTTGACACTTCTGTGTGCACCCTAGAAGTGACATGATTGAGATTTATAAGATTATGCATGGGATAGAGCAGGCTGAGAAAGAAGTCCTTTTCTCCCTTTCTCACAATACAAGAACTCGTGGGCACTCCATGAAATAGCTGAGCG